AATTATTAATCAAAATGCCATCATCTTCCTCATCCGATTTGGCTGCTCTAGAGGAGGCTAAGTTTATCGATTTCGTTATAACGAAAACGATTGATACTATCAAAACCGACTAAGCGAAACATCACGTGCACGATCTAAACCAAGAAATCCACAGTTGCGTAGAAATCACGAAGTCGGACACGATCGTCTTATAGAAGATTACTTTGTAGATGATGCCATCTACGCTGTGAAGTTTCGACATCGGTTTCGGATGAGGAAGAAACTATCCTTACGTATTGTTGGCGATTTGGAAGACCGTTTTCCATATTTCCAATGGAAAATGGATGTGAGGTGGATAAAAGATTTCGCTCCCATTCAAAAATGTACGGCTGCAGTTCATCAGTTAGCATATAGTATGGGCGCAGACAAATGGGACGAGTATTTTAGGATGTCAGAGCGTACCGTGCGGGAGTGTGTGTACAAGTTTTGCAAAGCGATCTGTTTGGTTTATGGGCAACGATATTTGCGCAAACCAACTATTAACGATATCTACCAATTGTACACGGTGCATGAAGGCAAGCATGGATTCTCTGGAATGCTTGGTAGTATCGATTGCTTGCAGTGGGGTTGGTCATTATGCCCCAACGCATGGCGTGGTCAGTACATGAGAGACGACCACAAAGAGCCGACGATCGTTCTAGAGGCTATCGCATCACATGATCTTTGGATATGGCATGCATTCTTTGGTCCAGCTGGTTCAAACAATGACATCAATGTGCTAGATCAATCGTCGATATTCAATGATATCTACCTTGGAAAGTCGCACGATGTACCTTTTCAAGCAAATGGGGTAGCATATAAGCATAGATACTATCTTACTGATGGTATATATCATTCCTTGTCTATTTTTGTGAAATCGTTTACATGTTCTAACGACCAGAAAAGGAAAATGTTTAAAGAGGCGCAAGAGTCAGCTAGGAAGGATGTGGAGCGAACATTTGGTGTAATTAAGAGACATTGGCAAGTACTAGCAATCGGGGCAATGTCATATGAAGTGAAAAGGTTGCAGCACGTAATGTATGCATGTATCATATTGTCACAACCAGCATTTTTAGCTAGGAAATTTTTTTCTCATGAGACTTGTGTTGAAACGTTAAAGTTTACATTATTCTTCCTAATGAGGCGTGTATTGTTATAATGCAAAACATATATGTATCCCGAATCTCTCCCAAATCTCTCTATGTACCTCAAATCTCTCCCGAATCCCCCAAGGTAGTTTCCTTAGTTAAAACCAACTCAAAATGAAAGGAGAAAACTTTAAGGAGCACGTCCAGTTCGGAACCTCCTAACCACACCGGACAGCTTTGCACTTCGGACCTCCTCAAGAGCCGAGCAATCTCGCTCTAGAACTATTGTACTTCGGAACCTTCGGATTTGGCTCCAGAATCCTTTCACCCGGAAAATCTCACTTCGGACAACCTGCTGATCCGGAACTGCTGACTTCGGAAGGTCTCGCATCATTCCGAAAGATCTCGCACTACGAACTGGAACCCCTCGTAGCCTCGGAAGGAAATGACTCCGGATGAGCTAACTTCGCAAAATCGAGTTCGGAACTCATGTCTTGACTCCGGAACTTGAGAATTGACCCCGAAACTCCACTCTGAAACTTGAGAAGAGCTTCGAAACAATTAGTTTGACTCCGAAATTCACTGTTTGACTCCGGAATTCACCATTTGGCTTCAGATTTTCGACCACTTCGGACCATTTCACCGTTTTGAGGTATTTTGACGTCGGGAATCCCACTAAACTCGTATTTTTCATAACTTAGACCCATTAAACCCTTATTTGATGTCAAATTTGAATATTAAAAACGTATTTTCATAAAATAACAATTAATATTCATAAAAGTATTATTTTAAATCATAAAGTAATAAGAGAGAGAGAGAGAGAAAGAGGGTTTGACTTTATGATTTGATGTAATCTCCCATTCCCCATGCATTCACGGATGCTCACAAATTATCCAACAAGCAAACATGATTAACTAGCAGTCCTCCAAGCACACTTCAAATCAACTTCATTTCCTTTATTTGAAGGAAGAACTCCTTTTGCTAATCCACATTCTCACCTCATTTCACTCTCTATAGATTTTATATTTCCTCACAAATCCCCTCCTCACTCCATTTAACAACTAAACCAAACTCCTCTTAAGAATAAGTGGGTCCTTCCAAAAAAATTTATCATCAAGGTGGTTCTTGGAAATTTGGTGAGCTATTTCGAATTATTCTAGTATTCCTACATATTATTTTGTTAAAATTATTTCATTTACACACAAGGTCCTATTTTAAACTCCTTAGGATAATCTAGGCTTCAAGGAGTTCAATAAGGGCATTCTAGTGCTTAGGACTAGGGATGAAAGTGGGTCCAAACCCGGACCGGATGGACCCGGATCCGGAAAACCCGGAACCGGTTAATGGGATTTTGTAGAACCGGAAACCGGACCGGTATATAGGAACCAGTTCCGGGTAAAGTGGGTCTAGAACTGGAAAACCCGGAAACAATAAAGTGGGTAGGTTGGAACCGGATAAAGTGGGTTTAGAACCGGAAAAACCGGAATTTTTTGGTAATTACTTACTACTTAGCGGATTAAACTTTGAAAATTTTCATATTGATATCCCGACTTTGGGGGACTGTAACTCAGTGAATAAGAAACTAAAATTAACAAAATTATAGTCTAAAATCATGTACAAACTCTAAAATACAAGTTGCAAAAAACCACATATCAATCCGACTTCAAACGAATTAGATATGCATGTTTTAAAACTTTCACCGAATACAAAAAAACAAAAAACTTCCAGCTTTGATATATCGACTTTGGGGGACTGTAAGTCAATGAATATTAAACTAAAAATGGCAAATTTATAGTCTAAAAACATGTACAAACTCTAAACTACATGTTGGAAAAAACCACATGTCAATCGGAGTTGAAACGAATGAGATATGCATCTTTTAAACGTTTCACAAAAAACCGGTTCCGGCCCTAAAAGTGGTTCTGGTTCCAAACACCGGTTCCGGTTTTTAGATCCGTTTTACCCGGACCCGATGGACCCAAACCCGGATTACCCGGAACCCGGATAAAGCCAATTTTTAAACCCGAAACCGGAACCGGTTTTATATATTCCGGTTCTAACGGTTCCGGTTCCGGTTCCGGGTTTCCGGTTCTAAATCTCATCCCTACTTAGGACCAAGATCTCTTCTCTACACTTCAAAAACCCCACAAAATTAGGGATGTCAACGGGGGGAAACTGGATGGGGAGTGCATCCCCCGCCCCTGCCCCCAAAATTTCCATGTTCCCCCGTTTCAGCCCCCGCCCTGAAATGTTCAGCCTTCCTATCCCCGCCCCCCGCCCCCGATTGATTTTCGGCTGCCTTTTTTTGGCTAAAACAAGTTGTTATTTACGCTAAAAGAAAGTATTTTTTAGGTAACAAATAATTATTTATAGTAGAATTTTACATGTTAAAAATAATATATACTAACAATTTAAAAACATGTTTTTTTGATGAATTTTGGAAGCTCAAAATCATGTTATATTTTATTATATTTATATAATCAATATATGTAAATATTAGTGTAATTTATTAACCGGGTCCTCATGGGGGTCTCGGGACGGATTGCCTACCCCCGCCCCCGCACCCCGCCCCCGCCCCCGAAATTAAAACGAAGGTTAACTTTGTCGCCGCCCCCGTCCCCGCCCCCGATTTTTTAAAAAATTTCCCCTAAACGAGACGGGTTCCCCACAGAGTTTTTTGACATCCCTACACAAAACCAACTTAAGGTGAGCTTCATACCCCTATCTTTGATGTTTTTCATGGTTTTTGGGAGAGGATACAAGTCAAGGGTCTTGTGAAATCTTAGTATATTTGCTTGTTTATGCATGTATGCTATGATTTATATGCTTAAAGTTATGAACTCCATCTAATGATTCAAGAACTCGAGATTTTTAGCAAGTCTCAAGGTTTTGAACTATATATCACCAATTATATGTTAGAACACAAAAACTAGTATTTTATGGATTATTGATCATAAATTGTTATGTTTAAGGATTGCTTCAAAAATGTGCTTAAACAAGTTGTTGAAAACAATGTTTTGAAAGTGGGTAAAATATGGAAATAATAATATTTTGGGAACCATTTCCGATCACATATATATATAAGGACCATCTTGGAAAATGGAATAAAATTGAAGAATTATTGAACATCTTAAAGGACCAAAATGAAATTTTGGATAAACAATGGCCATTTTCGACAATTCACCTAGTTTTGAACCACTTATGACACCTGTTGACAAATATGGGTCTTATTTGTCAACTTATAAAAAGAAGGGCCATTTTTGCCAATGTCGATACGTTTGGGTAAATTTTTTGATAATTATGATTCCAAATGGGTTATCCTCAATAAACGAAAACGATAAACAACCATATCTGATGTGGATATCTTTTGGATCTTAAATTTCAACTATAACGACTTTTGTGATTAAACTTTGAATGAACAATATTAAGGTGTAAATCGATTAAATTAAGATGTGAATCGTATATGGATTTTGTGTTAAAATATAATGATATCTAGTAAGTTGTGATTTTTGTATTTAAACTGTAAATTTACTGCATTAAGTTGTGAATTTCATGTTTAAACAATAAATTGATTATATCAACTTGTGGTATTTTTATATTAAAGACGAGTAAAGGTTTGGTTAAGTTGGGCATGACATGGGGATGAGGTGGAGCTTAACAAATTCAACGCCACTCTACTGGCCTTATACATATACCAAGCATGATAAACATGTTTGTTATTTAATTTATCATGTGAAACCGGTAACGATAGGAATTAAAACATAAAATATACATAAAAATCGAGTGACCACATGATATTCCTCATTTAAAATCAAGAAATCATCTTCTGAAGAATAAATCATCATTTTAAGCCAGAACCATGCATCCACGATGATTTAACAAGTGCAGATTCAGTCAATCAGTCGTGTATTCCTCATTTAAAGCCAGAACCATGCATCTACGAAGCTCTTTCAAGCCAGGAAATTTTGCAATACGTTTATCTAAGCAATCACCAACATCAGTACCTGATGTCACTTCCATTTTCATATCAGTCATTCCAGTTAGATCTCCAGCTCGAGCAAAGAACAGTACCTTAATCTCAAAAGATTCGTCTTCACTTTCGATTTGTGTTTGTTGGGTGTCTTTTTTACACTTCTTCTTTATCTGTGATGAACCCATGATAGAATGTCT